CCCCTTTGATTCATGAGGTACGGGAGGCAGTTTTCAATATTGATGCTGACAGTGTCGCTGGCCCGGATGGCTTCTCATCCCTATTCTTCCAGCATTGTTGGGATATTATTCAGGAGGATGTTTACAGCGCGGTATTGGACTTCTTTGATGGTGGTCATCTTCCAAGGGGTTTTGCTGCTACTTCTATTGTCTTGCTACCTAAGAAAGTTGGTGCTTGCAGATGGACTGAATTCAGACCAATCAGCTTATGCACAGTGTTCAGTAAGATTATTACTAAGCTTTTGAACACTCGGCTGAGTACACTGCTACCGCGCATTATTTCCCCCTCCACAGAGTGGTTTCATCCCAGGCCGTTTGATTGGAGATAATGTTTTATTGGCTCAAGAGCTTCTCTACAGTTTGGATGATAGAGTGCGAGGGGAAACACTATGCTGAAGTTAGACATGGCTAAAGCATATGATCGCATGGACTGGGGCTTCATTTATTCTATATTGGAGGCATTTGGATTTGATCAGATCTGGATTGACAGAATCAGGCGGTGCGTTTCGGAGTGTCGTTTCTCCGTACTCCTAAACGGCCGCCCATGTGGTTTCTTTCCCTCCTCACGAGGACTCAGACAGGGTGATCCTATCTCCCCATCCTTATTCATCATTGCAGCAGACTACTTCTCACGCTTGCTCACTCAGAGGTTTCAGGAGTATCCCAGTATGTGTTATCGACATGGAGGTAGTGCTCTTGTCTCACATCTCTCATTTGCTGACGATATGATCATCTTTGCCAACGGTCAGAAACAGTCTATCAGGAGGGTCTTAGACTGTTTGGAGCATTATGAAGGAGTTTCTGGCCAATTGGTGAATAGAGACAAGAGCGGTATTATACTATCCAGACGGGCATCCACTAGTCAGATCAGACGACTGGAGATTTTGACGGGCTTCAGACATCAGCAGCAGCCTTTCACTTACTTGGGTGTCCCCTTATTCAAGGGGACTAAGAGGAGCTTCCTTTATGATGACCTTATCCAGAAGATAAGGGATAGGATATCAGGCTGGGCCTCATGATTACTATCACCTGGGGGTCATATCACATTACTGAGGTCAGTACTTTCTTCCATACCTTTACATCTTCTTCAGATTATGCAGCCGCCCAAGACAGTGCTCAAGAAACTTGAGAGCATCTTTGCCCGATTCCTATGGGATTCTAAGGATCAAGCACGACGTCTACATTGGAGGAGTTGGAAGGCAATTTGCCTTCCTACTGATGAGGGAGGCCTCGGCTTTAGGGGATTACAGGATGTGGTGGACACCTTCTCCATGAAGCTCTGGTGGCTGTTCCGATCTCAGAGGTCACTTTGGGCTCAGTTTTTACTGGGCAAGTATTGTAAGGGGACGTATCCTTCACTTGCAGCAGTTCCCAGATCAGCTTTCCCTACCTGGAAGAGGCTGAAATCAGTTGGGCCACGGACGGATCCACACATTGCTTGGCACCCTGGAGCCGGTCAGATTTTCTTCTGGCATGATTGTTGGATGGGCGAGACCACGTTGGCATCCCTATTCCCCCACAGACAGCACACATCTGCGAGGGTACAGGATTTTTTTGATGACACTGGGTGGGATTTCGGACGGTTATTACAGGCCCTTCCTTCTCACACGGCAGGACAGATAGGGGCGATATCTTTATGTGCAGATGCCCCGGATGAGACCATCAATCATATTTTCACGAGCAGCAGCATCTCCGACCAGGTATGGCAGCACTTTGGAGACATCTTTCAGATACCTATGACTTCAGGGGAGGGGGTCAGACAGAGGTTCCAGAGATGGCGGTATTCTGGACAGCACATTTACCGTGGACACATTCGTATTATCATTCCTCTACTGATATTTTGTTTTCTATGGACTGAGAGGAATGATGCGAAGCATAGAGGTATTCGTATGGTGGCCAGACGTATTATTTGGAGGGTCTACCGCATGATCTCCTTTCTTCATATGGGAGGACTATTCCGAGTTGAGCATTGGCGAGGAGATGTAACACTTGCATCCTTTTTTGGAATTTCTTTGACCTGTCCTCTCCCACCACCACCTATTATGGTTGTTTGGCGCACTCCACCAGTGGGATCCTTCAAGATCAACACTGATGGATGCGTCAAAGATGGATTTGCAAGTGGTGGAGGCATCATTAGGGACTACGCAGGATACTGTATCAGGGCATTCTCAGCATCCTATGGCCCATGTTTCATTTTGGAAGCTGAGCTCAGAGCCATACTAGATGGGCTTCTATTGGCCAGAGGACTTGGGATATCAGCTATCTGGCTTGAGGCAGATTCAACATTGGCTATTCACTGCATAACCAAAGGTGGAGGACCATGGTCGATTCAGGGTATTCTCAGACAGATCAGAGACTTCATTTGCCTCGATAGAGACACAGTTTCTCACATCTACAGAGAGGGTAACCAGGTTGCAGATTCTCTTGCTTCAGAAGGCTGGGATCACCAGCGCTACCAAGAATATGGACCACTTGACCTGCCTCGACAGATTAGGGCATTGGTACAAATCGACAGATATGGATTGCCCAGCTTTAGAGGTTTGTAGTTTAGGCAATCATTATTTCATTTTTCTTGTACAAGGAAGTAGTACTTCCTCATTTACTTTATTCGTTTTTAATATTTCATTTGTTACATTGTTGCTTTTTGGAGGTCAGGTTTATGCCCCCCTCCTTCCCTGTACTTTTGATTTTTATGAAATAAACATGGTTGGGGAACCCTTAACCCCCATCGACCTTCCTTGGTGGACCCTAAAAAGTCATTAAGGATGTGTGGATGTCTTTATTAAAAAAAAAAAAAAACCCTAAACCCTAAACCCTTAAACCCTTAAACTCTTAACCCTTAACCCTTAACCCTAAACCCTAAACCCTAAACCCCAAACCCCAAACCCCAAACCAAAAATGCCCACCTTTTTCTCTCTCTACCTCCAAAACGCTCTCCCTTTTCTCTAGAATGGGAGAAAACCTCCAAGACTCCAACAAACTTGATCCACCACCAAAACCACCGGATTGCAGCACTCTAAGTGGTGGAAAATCATCACCAACAACCACCCAAACATCTCCTATAACACCAATATCAGATTCATCCCCCAACTCAATAGATCTGAGTTTGAAAAATCATGGCACGAATCCCAAGGTCATCGAAACACCCCCTACGCATTGAATCAGGGTCTGGGACCATCACCAATGATTCCAGAAGGGCCGAAAACCCTGGGGGTGGTAGAGATTTCATCCGAATCGCCCGAAATTGACAGATCGGATCCCGAGGGGCCAAAAACTGATTTTTCAATTAACCCTTCCACAGAGCTCAAACAGGGACACGCGCCTGACCATAAGATTACCCATGAAAAGGCGAACTTCGACTAAAAAATCATCCAATTCCGACCCCGGACGCTCCCTCACCGACGATCGCAATTTCCGGCCAGTCGCTCGGAAAATCGCAGATTCCGGCCAATCCTGAACTCATTTCGAAAAACGGAACATACCGTGATGATCAGTATGAAATTATGCATCTCCCTGTGAAAAATCATAAATTTCTGACACCATTGGAAAATCGCCACCGGTCAACGGCCGGCGCGTGGTGGTCACGCGCCGGTGACACTTCACCAGAATGTGGAGAATTTTGTTACGGACCCAATTCCATCATCGGTTTTTCCACATGAGGCCTAGACAGTGCTCAATCAGGGTCGAAAGACCTATGCTACTGCAGTTTCTGGCCGTCCAGGCCTGTCTCAAGCTGAACGGAATTCACGAAAGTCGTTTGCATCGGTTATACAGGGTATAGATGACTCTTCCACTGTTGGGTTTGCTGCTAAAGAACCCTTTATACATACGGGTGAGCCGGTAATAGTTTTGACTGAGTCCGAGGAGGCTACACTCGCTGATCCTTACAAGTATACACTTGTGGGGAAATTTCCACATCGCAAGCCAACCATGAGGAAGGTACGTGAGATTTTTTCTAAGTTTGGGTTCCATGGTTGTTTCGAGGTGGGATTGATTGACACAACACACATTCTTATACACCTTACACATGAGGAGGATTACAACAGGCTTTTTCTTAAACCTTCATGGTATATTGATGGTTGTCCGATGAGAGTCCTTAAGTGGACATGTGACTTTACACCTGAGCAAGAGACTCCGATAGTTCCGGTATGGGTATCGTTCCCTCTGCTTCCAGTACATTTACGTGCGAAGGGGTTCCTTTTCACCTTATCTGGGGCAATAGGAATGCCCTTGAGAATTGATGAGGCCACCACCGACTTGAGACGACCTAGTGAGGCAAGGGTGTGCATTGAGGTGAATTTGGGGCATAAGTTGCCCGATAGGGTTTGGATTGAGCGTGCTGGTAACCGTGGCTTCTGGCAGACAGTTATCTTTGAGAAGCGGCCAATTTTTTGCTTCTCTTGTAAACACTTGGGTCATTCTTATGATCAGTGTACTACGGTTCCTCCTCCTCCTCCTGCAGTTGTTGTGCACCTCCCTGTTCGGCCCCCTATTACTAGGACTGATAAGGATAAGGGCAAGGTGACGTTTGTGGAGCCAAAGGAGCAGTGGGTTCCAGTTTCAGCAGTGCCTTCTGTGCTTCCCACTACTGCTACCGCAGTTGTGACTGAGTCAGAATCTGCATCGACAGTTCCTACCTCTACTCGTATCACAATTGATCCAGAGGTACCTCCGTATATTCATTCAGTTGCTGAGCCTACTCCAAATGCTCCTATCGAGGTACCCACTTCTCCTATTATTACTTCCATAGCTCCTATTCCCATAGCTACTACTGATGTACCCCCTGAGCCGACACATATGAGTTCTCCACCATTAAAGACACACACAGATAGTACTCAATCAGCGCAGGGATCAGGTACCGGGACAGTTCCTCAAACCACTCTTGCACAGGGGTTGTTGGCTGAGATCAGCTCAGAGCGACATGGTGTCAAGCACATGCTGATTGATCACTTTAAGAAGGACCATGGAATGAAAGTTGGATCTACCATGAGATTTGCTATTGAGGACTTGGTTTTTAAGCTCTTTGGAGAGGGACCTTCTGTGAGTAAGACTCCTACGCAGACACCTTCATCTAGTCCTTCTATCACAGCTCCTACACACAATAAGGTGAAAGAACATATACAGAGAGACATGGATGGCATGGACCTTGGAAACTGCATGCAAAATGCGGAAGATGATGTCCCTACAGCAAGCAGGTCAATCTCCCACGATTCAGATGTCGTAGCACAGAACACCATGAGATTAGACGCACCTATGACTAGTACAATGAGATCAGATGCACCCGCTTTTCGCCCGACATTCAGTGCACCACCATCTGAACAGTACTTATCAACAAAGCAGGCTCCTACACGCAGGCGAGACCCCTCTCCAACGAGCGAGCCAGACATCGCAGACTACTATGATCCAGAAATGTTTCAAACCAGACGCATGACTCGATCAATGTCTATGTACTACCACCCAAAGATTTACCCTCGGGAATACCCTTGAGTCCCTTTCATTAGTTTTTGTTCGCGTCTTGTTTACTGTGATTGCATTTTATCTTCAAATATTTGTTACAATTTACATTTGCTGGAGGTCAGGTCCATGCCCCCCCTCCTCTATTTGTTTTCCCGCTTTTCATTATATAAAATAAACCACACTAGTGGTATTTGCTTTAAAAAAAAAAAAGCATTGGACAGCACTACAGATATCGACTCAGACTCCAAAGTTAAAATGACGAACTTTTTTAGGCACACTGCGTTCTTTCTAGTTGCGGGAGATGAGTTGAAGAACCAAAAACAGAGCATTGCATGTAAGCATGCAACCAGCAAACCGGCTGCAGTGTAAAGTCCTAACACAATTAGCTCATTTGATTCATGGAGCAAATAACAATAATTGGTAATGAACTTATTGATGCTGTCTGTGTAGAAGGGAAGTGTCCAAAAATTTCTAGGCATTTTAGTAATGAGAATAATTTGAAATGAATTCAAAGTTCCCTCTTATTTATCTATCAATATATTTGTATTGTTAAAAAAAAAACCCCCTAAACCCTAAACCATACTGCATCAGGTTCAGGCAGCTTTGAACCAGACTTTATCTATTGAGGAGGGCTTCTGGAAGCAAAGGGCTGGCTCACGTTGGGTATGTGAAGGAGATCACAATACTCGATATTTCCATGCGATGGTTCAAGGACGCCGTATCAGATCACGTATTAGGTCCATCAGGACACAGGCAGGGGAAGTCTTAGCTACTCCTGCTGATATTCAGACCTCGGCTATTGCTTTCTACCAGGATCTCTTATCTACTCCTCCACAACCTTTGGACCACATCCGTTCTGATGTCATTCCGAGGCTATTGACGGAGGATGATAATTTGGCACTAAACCGCTCCCCTTTGATTCATGAGGTACGGGAGGCAGTTTTCAGTATTGATGCTGACAGTGTCGCTGGCCCGGATGGCTTCTCATCCCTATTCTTCCAGCATTGTTGGGATATTATTCAGGAGGATGTTTACAGGGCGGTATTGGACTTCCTTGATGGTGGTCATCTTCCACGGGGTTTTGCTGCTACTTCTATTGTCTTGCTACCTAAAAAGGATGGTGCTTGCAGTTGGACTGAATTTAGGCCAATCAGCTTATGCACAGTGTTCAATAAGATTATTACTAAGCTTTTGAACACTCGGCTGAGTACACTGCTACCGCGCATTATTTCCCCTCCACAGAGTGGTTTCATCCCAGGCCGTCTGATTGGAGATAATGTTTTATTGGCTCAAGAGCTTCTCTACACTTTGAATGATAGAGTGCGAGGGGGAAACACTATGCTGAAATTAGATATGGCTAAAGCATATGATCGCATGGACTGGGGCTTCATTTATTCTGTATTGGAGGCATTTGGATTTGATCAGATCTGGATTGACAGAATCAGGCGGTGCATTTCGGAGTGTCGTTTCTCCGTACTCCTAAATGGCCGCCCATGTGGCTTTTTTCCCTCCTCACGAGGATTCATATGCTGAAGTTAGACATGGCTAAAGCATATGATCGCATGGACTGGGGCTTCATTTATTCTGTATTGGAGGCATTTGGATTTGATCAGATCTGGATTGACAGAATCAGGCGGTGCATTTCGGAGTGTCGTTTCTCCGTACTCCTAAATGGCCGCCCATGTGGCTTTTTTCCCTCGTCACGAGGACTCAGACAGGGTGATCCTATCTCCCCATCCTTGTTCATCATTGCCGCAGACTACTTCTCACGTTTGCTCACTCAGAGGTTTCAAGAGTATCCCAGTATGTGTTATCGACATGGAGGTAGTGCTCTTGTCTCACATCTCTCATTTGCTGACGATATGATCATCTTTGCCAACGGTCAGAAACAGTCTATCAGGAGGGTCTTAGACTGTTTGGAGCATTATGAAGGAGTTTCTGGCCAATTGGTGAATAGAGACAAGAGCGGTATTATACTATCCAGACGGGCATCCACTAGTCAGATCAGACGACTAGAGATTTTGATGGGCTTCAGACATCAACAGCAGCCTTTCACTAATTTGGGTGTCCCCTTATTCAAGGGGACTAAGAGGAGCTTCCTTTATGATGACCTTATCCAAAAGATAAGGGATAGGATATCAGGCTGGGCCTCACGATTACTATCGCCTGGGGGTCGTATTACATTACTGAGGTCAGTACTTTCTTCCATACCTTTACATCTTCTTCAGATTATGCAGCCGCCCAAGACAGTGCTCAAGAAACTTGAGAGCATCTTTGCCCGATTCCTATGGGATTCTAAGGATCAAGCACGACGTCTACATTGGAGGAGCTGGAAGAAGATTTGCCTTCCTACTGATGAGGGAGGCCTCGGCTTTAGGAGATTGCAGGATGTGGTGGACACCTTCTCCATGAAGCTCTGGTGGTTGTTCCGATCTCAGAGGTCACTTTGGGCTCAGTTTTTACTGGGCAAGTATTGTAAGGGGACGCATCCTTCACTTGCAGCAGTTCCCAGATCAGCTTCCCCTACCTGGAAGAGGCTGAAATCAGTTGGGCCACGGACGGATCCACACATTGCTTGGCACCTTGGAGCCGGTCAGATTTTCTTCTGGCATGATTGTTGGATGGGCGAGACCACGTTGGCATCCCTATTCCCCCACAGACAGCACACATCTGCGAGGGTACAGGATTTTTTTGATGACACTGGGTGGGATTTCGGACGGTTATTACAGGCCCTTCCTTCTCACACAGCAGGACAGATTGGGGCGATATCTTTATGTGCAGATGCCCCGGACCGAATTGTTTGGAAAATTACTTCGGATGGTGACTTTACCACCAAATCTGCATGGCAACTAGTCTATTCGAGTCGCCAGCCTCAGGACTCATATCGACTGCTGTGGAGCTCTATTTTGCCTGCCACTATTTCATTCTTCTGCTGGAGACTATGGCAGGATCTCATTCCAGTAGATGTTGTTATTCAGAGGAGAATTGGATGTCA